TAAATAGCGGGAAAGCAGTAGCCCTTGCTCTCTGCTGGCAAAATTCTAAGCTAGATTAGTGATGATATTGAAAGGAAAAAGCAACTTCCACTACTCAAAAACCTCCAAAGCGTAGGTTTAGATATGCAAACCATTTTCATCAGACGATAATTAGTAAGATTTATTTTTGATATACCTTTTAAAAGGACAATCATGTAATTAATTATATCTTCAAAACAGTCTTCGATCCTCTTCTAGATCTAATAGGATAAAATCTTAGAACAAGCAGTTCCTCTTACAATTTTATTAGGCATTGCCATCTTTCTGCGTGGAATACTGTCTCATTAGTTAGTGTATTCCCGAGTCGTGAGTATATTAACACTGCTAGGAATAGAACTGCTATTGCTCCAAAAGCGCGTAAACCATAAACTGGAAGGTATTTTTTCCGTTATAAGAAAAAAGGTATAAATATCGATTACCTAGATGCATATCTCAAGATTGAGTCCTTGAGAAGAGACCATAATAATAAGAAGAAAGTTCTGCAGCGATGTTGAAACTGCAAAGACATACCCTAGGCTGATAGGGATACGGATGAGATTTCATACCTTGCTAATGTAATTAACGTACTGTAGAGCCGTGGCGCATACATAGCCATGTATGCCGGTACCGCATGATTTGTTTGGGATAGTACGCCAAGAATGATGGTGATAAGGGAAGAAGAGAGAACCATTGTGAATTCTCCATACTTAACTATGGCCGCAAATTGAATGACAGATGAAAGAATAACGCCTGAAATCGAAAGAATATAAACAATGCAATATGGAAGGACATTTCTCCAAACTTTGCATGGATTTTCAAGTCTGCATACTTGTCAACGTGTTCATATATTCCACTTTGACTCGGTAATAAAAAAAATAAATCCAGCTTGTTTTACAGGTTGGGCTTCATCCAGTGTCCTTGATATGCGAACGAGAAACACGCTCGCATATAAACCTCTAGGGCATCAACTCATTAGTCACTAAGGTTGTGCCTACGGTGGTCGTGGTTGATTTCTTCAACGTCATAAGTGAGCTGTATTTCATAGGCTTTCAAGTAAACACTTGTTCAATTTTATGAGTTTTTCCTGCAAACGATGAGAACGTTTGGGAGGGTACATTTCATTTGTTCCTCACTTTCCAGGCTCTGACGAAGGCGAACAAGCCGAAACGTAAGCCTAATGAAAAACATTATACCAATCTTGGCTTACGGCTCGACGCTCAAGGAAAAATAAAGTACAATTGATTTCTATCCTTCAGGTACGGCCACTTTTGAGACATCAGAGGTGGAGATCATGTACAAAAAAAATCGTTCTTTTGTATTCTGAAAAAAAAAACTCTCCAATGAAGGTTTCAGAGATACAACACAAAGCGATAGACAGGACAAAGAAATAAACTTTAACCATGGGATGGAAAATTTGACATCTAATTCACTAATTGCAGTATTGTCGAAAACTGAACAGAGATGAAAGAGAGTAGTTTTGAGCTAAAAAGCACACGACAAAAAAGAAGTACAAAAAGCAAGAAAGAAGAAGAGACCGTATAAAAGTTGTGATCTGAATGGAAAGTGTCCAGAACTATTGGGTTGGTAAGTAATTTTCGAATTTTCTTCGACGCTCATT